CGGGAAATGAATCTGGCAGAGTCCTGGACAAACCCAACACACGATATTGGCCCTTAGCTTCTTGCTCACATAATAACCTATGGAAAAGTAATAGCAGTGACCTTTAAGGACTAGAAACCCAGCTGAACTGGGGAAATTCTCAAAATGAATAATCTTAAATAACAGGGAATATTATTGCCTCTGATCCCTAGCTCCACACCCACAGAAATCAAAACAAACTCTCGTTCCAGAGAATTTTTACACAATAGTGTTATTTGTTGGTTTGTTTTCAAACATTTATTTCCTAAAATAAGCCTGTGTCAAACTGAAGAGTGGGGGACTGGGCAATGCATCTGGAGATGTTTGTGAGCTTTGTACACAAATCTATTCCCAATGTATTGGTCCACAAGCTCTAGAATTATGCAGCCCATATACCTTCCACTTGGGGGAAAAACCAAACCACCTTAAAAGGAGTATATGTCTGGGACCTTTATATGGTGCCACTTCACAAACACTAAGAAAGCAATTTTTTAAAGACCTTGTATACCATTTTACAACCAACTTCCCTCACCTAAATGAGCTGCTGTTAGTCCAAGCCTGAATTCTTTCTTTACTTTTAGTTTTGCAACAGAGACTGACCTTTGGAAAGAAGTGGGCTCGTGCAGCCTGCAACACTGCCTGCATTTGCACACCTGCTGTTTGTTCACAGCCTGGAGAGAGCTGACTTTTGGACCTGGTGTTTCAGATGTAATGTGAGATGCTCTAATCTACACTTGAACCTTCTGAGCCCCTCTCTTCACGCTCAACCATCAGACTGTGGGTGAATACATTTACTCTACTCATTACTCAGTCATACCTGGTGCTTGGTGCTCAGCACTGTCCCTAAACATTCCATGTCCTAGAGCAGGTCCTGGATCCTGGAAGATGTGGAGAAGTGGAGAAATCCCACCTCTCCTGCATTAATGCAGTGATCTAAGTACCAAACAGTGCCCTCACCCATGGGCACTGTCAGCCAGCGCAGGAAACAACAACCTGCCCATCTGACTGATGTGTTGCTTGTACAGCACCACTGGTAGGGTACAACACACGGAGTAGGGGCTCTGCCCATCTCTCTGCTTTTATTTCTGTAGTTCTACTCTTACACCTTCCTGCTCACACCTTTTTCTTCTTTTCAACATCTGTCTTTTACCCACATTTTCATTCATTTCAGTCCTGCTCTCATTTTCTCTTCTTCTCCTCCTACCTTTCCTGTTCTCTCCAGCACTCTCCCAGCACACAGCCTCCCTTTCAGTTCTTGGTCTTTGCCTTTTTTGCCCATGGACTATTATTCCTTCCTGTTTTCATCATGTCTCCTGAACTGTTTCAGTTGTTTATGAGAAAGGCTTTAAAACAACTAATTTTTGTTAGAAAAACCCAGTCACAGGTCGGGTGGACAGTGCCAGTGCTGTACTGAGATGGAGCACTCAGCTCACTCCTCTACAAGAACTTTAATACTTGAGCTTAGCCCTTCTCTGCTTCTGCACAATTACTCCTCTTTGCAGTGCGCTCTCAAAAGAAGCCACACAATGACACTTGTGTTCAGGCATGGGACTGAGGTTTTCTACCACAGCTGGGTGGAGAATGAGGTGGGGTGTCTAAGTGAAGCAGATTTTGTGACTGAAGACCAGCCAGAAATGTGGATATTGAGATCAGCCCACTCTTTCAGCTTTTAATGCTAAGCATGTTCCATAGGTGTAATAGTCCAGTATTTCCATAGGTACCCAATGGCACTGGACTTAGAGAAAGGAGCAGCAGCATAATTACTGCTGCCTCCTGAGAAAACAGGTGTTTTGCTCTCCACATTTATTCTAATTCCTTCAACTTTGCTGCAGTTCATAAGAGACTAAAAATTTATTACCAGAGCAGTATGAGAATTTCACTGTTTCTGCTTTATCACAGAAAGGAGGGACATTGCAAACTAGATGGTAAAAATAAATGAAAGAAAAAAAAAGGTAAGGAAATGAAATAAATCAAGCAAACCCTAAAAACTAACACTGTGGGAAAGCTTAGCAAGCACAGTGACCAGAAGATTTATAGAAGTGTGTAAGAGCATACTGACGAAAACTATTGCCATAGACTCACCAGAGATTCTGAGAACAATAGATGCCTCCTTGAAGCAAACCAGGTATTAAAAAGAACCTTATGCCCTTGTATTTCTTATTATTTTTCAATAACCATATAACACTTCTGTGGTAAAATAGTAACATGAACTCATGTTGACCTTTGATATTTGAACTCGGAGCAGAAGAGAATAGGAAATGCCGAGCCCACAAGCGGCAGGAGTGAATGGGGTTATTCATAACTGAGTGCTGTGGGGAGCTGGAGAGCCTGGCACTCTGCATTCACTGTCCTGTTCCTCCTCATCGGTGCTTGCAGGAAAACCATCACCTTCTTCAACACAGACATCTCTACTGCCTACAGAGCGTGCTGTGCTCCCCCAAAGGCCAGGCTGCAGGTTTGCCTCAGGGAGGACAGACCACGTCCCCCGTGTTCCAGGAACCTCAGCCTGGACACAGCCTTTGGCTGGGGGCATGTGTGTGCCACTACCATCACTGGTTAGCTCATTAAAAGGGCACTTGTCATGGCAGCCAAAAAAACCCCATTAACTTCAAAGTCAAAGCACATGAGGTAATTTTGATCCTGCATTCCACCCTCATTTTATTGTAAAAAAAAGCAAAAAGCACAGTGACATACGATATGTCTGCTAACCTCAGGCTCCCAGCCACCAAGTAATTCATCCTCCTGCAGGTACCTCATCTCAACATGCAAGAGAAACTCTTCAAAGGATTCCTCGGACGACAACTTGTCTCACTGAAACTGAAGGGAAGCAGATCTCAAGAGAAGTCAGTCAAACTCGGTTTCACATCTGAACACACTCATATGTCCCAACAAGAGCCTTTGCTGCAAATGCATTTGAAGTTTTAAGTGTGCTGCCAACTTTCTAGGTGCTTAACTCAAAGAGGTAGCCAGGGGAGATGCCCCAAGAGAAACTTAACTGTAGAGGAAAATTAAAAAATATCTTCTGAATAGAGACCACAGAATGTGAACTGCCAAAACATGCTCAGAAGTTTCCTTCATAACCTTGTAAAACACTGGAGAAAGTCACAAGTGAGACAATTTCTCCTTTTAAGAGGAAAATTTATTCCATTGTAATTCAAAATGCAAGCCCTGTTAAATTTATAGACTTCACATTTTATTCAGTTGTAAAATTCTTGCCCTTATTTGCCAGATCTTGTCAGAGAGCTCGGCCCAAGCCCGCGGCTGTGCTGGCACTGTACTGCTGCAGGCAGACGGACACTGCAGAAGATCAGCACCCCAGCTTACCCCACCACACAAGAAAACAATGAAGAAAACCTATTTTTCAGCTTCCCCTTTGACAACTTACCCCACAAAAAGAGGGGTTTTTCTCAATAAATAATTTCTCACTCACTCCCTCTATTTGTGCTGCTGGCAGAGGGGATGGAGAACGTGCAGTGAGGGCTTAAAAGGTTGGTGGTCCCCTCTGGTTTTCTGTCAGAGAAAAGCCAGGGCAGACTGCAGCTCTGCAGCTGACTCAAGCTCATTTCAAACAGAAATTGGATTACTTGTGGGCAAAGCTTCCCTGGGGATCATGGTTTGCAAGATGGACTGCTCTGGACATATACTTGAGTTACCTCCAGCTCCATTTCTTTCCCCAGAGCCCGTGGGAGTTCAGCACTACAGTTCAGTGTCAAGAGATGTCTGCAAAGTTTCCAGAACATTCCCATTACAGGTCCATCTTCCCCAGCTGCTGAGCAACATCAAGTGCCTTTAATCACAGTGCCAGAGCCAGAGCTGCTCAGACCCTCCAAGTTCATCTACCAGCATTATCACACACTGGACTAAAACTGTGAGAGCATTATATCAAAAAGAAAGGCAAGATGAAAAAATAGGCTCATTAAAAGGAAACCAAGATGATCACCAAACTGTTCTTACAAGCCTAGAAAGTAGAGTTTCTGTAGCTTAAGTAAATTCAAAGAACGATGAAATCTATTCATCCTCATAGCAAGCACCATACCAATTTAGGTAGGTAAACACTATTCTGAGTCATGCTGCCACTCAAGTACCCTTATCAAAACCATTCATTTGAGACTGTCATGCTGAAGAAGCCACGACGCTCTGTCCTTCCCCAGACTAATGCTGCTGCATCTTGATGCTCAGCGTCCTAAAACACATCTTTCTTTTATTGTCTTAAATGCTGGAATCATTTTGCTGCTTGTTGAAGGTGACACACGTTTAGGGTGGACAAATAGTTCACACACCTCATTTGTGATCTGAGCAGCTCTTTGCAGATAATTCAGTTTTCCAGTCAATCTAATTATAATCTGAAGTTACAGCAGCAAAGACTTTCAAGTACAAAGCAAAGCGAACTGTGTAGGAGCTGAAAGCCGTTCATTAATCCCGGCTGGTATTGGTAGGAGTGGCTTGTGCCCTGGGGCTATTCTCCCTACCTTAGCATTCAATCTTTATCTCACCTATTATGTGAATCAGATGGTAAATATTTTACTTTCTCTAAACTACAGTAACCCCTATGGTGATCGCAGAGACAGTTTGTTTTGTGATATGAATTTCTTTCTTCCAATCTAAAACATTCCTAAGCAAGATCCCCAAACAGTATTAACTGACACCGTGGCAATGATTTATTGAGAGGATGGGAATAAGCAAAGAAAGCCTGTTCATGAGAAGAATTTATTCCTCTGTAATACCTTTAATAAAAACAATAATCTATGCATCCGTCTTTACTTTTCATCATCTCTTATTTGAAGAAACTACATCTGCCACATCAATTGCTGCTAGAATTTAATTTTTAAAACTTCAAGTCGTTAAGATCACAGGTAATTTCAGCCCAGGCCTCACCACTTCAGGGCATGATTTGTTACAAGGGTGGGGGGAAACCCAAACCCTGCAGGTATGAATTCTGCCTTTTCCTTTTGATTTTGCAGGGGACACGGTGCAGGAGGCTCCTGGGGAGGGAAGGGGAAGCTGCCTGGGCCAGCGAGGTTCCACAGGAGTGTGGAACGAGGCCTGGCTGCCACACGCTCACCCCGTCTCTTTGAACTGGCCCACAGCACTTTGAGGCTTTTCCTCACGGCAGCCAGTCCCGTAAACACCGTTTCTGCTGGAGTTATAATATGCAGCCATCTGCAATTTTGTACCCACAAAACAGCTTATAAATCACAGCAGGGCTGGCAGGGCATTCCCTCTGCTGAAGGACTGGAATGGTGGGGTTTTTCCTGAGGGCAGGCACAGGAGATTTGGAAGCCCTCAAGACCTGTGCCAGGCAGTGCTTCCACAGGCTGACTGTGGCTCTTTTCATCAGACTGCATTTGTCCATCCCACAAAAGAGCACAATCCCCATTTTCTCCCCTTCTTCTCCCACACAGGAGGGGCCTCTTCCTGGCAGACCCGCACAATGAAGGCCCAGTGCTGGCTGGTGTTGGGGGAAGCACCAGGATACCTGGATTGACCCTTGCTCTCGAAAGGTGAGGCAGAACCAGGCAGTGCTCAGCTCAGCTCCACTCCAGGAACCTCACCAGGGCAGATCCAGGCCACGAGCAGGGCCAGGGACATCCCAGCTCTCCAGCAGGCTTGGGTGGGGTTGGTGAGCCCAGAGCCTCTGCCACCCACCATCAGCACAACAGCCATGAGCAAGAGCACGCTGTACTCCAGAAAAGGCTGTGGCAACCCTTTATGACTGGTCAAAACCAAACTAAAGCTTGTGGCACTGTAGCATGATGCTCTGAGCAAAGCTGTGACAGCAACATCTCATGTCACAGGTTTCTGTTCTCTTGCAATGCTGGAGGCCAGTGCTCACCACAAGCTCACAGCCCTGGTGCAAGCTCTGAGCTGGACGTGCCCATGGGGCCACCACGACGCTCCACATCTGCTCTTGTTTCCAAACACAGCCCTCTCTGGGGGTAGCTGAGATTATCCAAGGAGCCAGAGGTTTCCAGAATGCCAGCAGACCCACCAGGGACTGCCGCCTGTTCCAGTTCCCAGCCGTGTGACAGCCTGCCTGGCACTCACAATTCACGGCAGTACAGCAGGGCTGCTCCAGCCTGGCACTGGTCCCAGGGAGTCCCCGGTGCCCAGAGGCAGCTGGGCAAAGGTGCTGCCACAGACAGTGCTGAGCCACATTCCTGTTCCTCTGTGCCCTGGTGGGCCCTGCTCCCCCTGCTCCATGGGCCCTACCCCTCCCATGGGAGCCTGTGGAGGATGATCTCTGGGACAGACTGCTGGGAGCAGCTTGCCCTGGGCTGCTGGCTCCAGAGGTGGTGCCAGGAGGTACCTGCAGACCCTGTGGCAAGAGGGAGGCAGTGTCCTGTTGCAATGGTTCACACAGACATGGCTCCCTTATGACAGGGAAAAAACTGGGTTTATTATTTTTACAACTTCAGTATTTATAGATTCTCAGCAATGACCTGGGACTGGATAGTTAGGTTACCACCTTTCCAATCACACTGGTCATGTGAGACATCCATCAAAAGACGTGTACCAGAAAGTACATATCTATGTTTACAGTCATTGTCCTGGGAAAGTTCTTAGAAATTATGTAAACAAGATCAAAAGGCCTAGTTTTCGGGGAGGCAGTGTCCTAGTGCTGGGACCAGTCAGGCTGCAGGGGAAGATGACAGGTGAGGCAGGTGGCCAGCAGTCAAATATTTAACCTGGCCTGCAGCCTGCCCACTCCTCATTTACAGAGTTGTCCTCCTTCCCAAAGCACGAGCTCCTCCACAGGAGAGCACATGCACCTCAACAAGCAGCAATGGTTTAGAATCCACTGCTATTCCAGCAGCACCTTTGGGTGCCAGGTGACCAGCATGGGAAGCAATCTGAAGCAAAGCACTTGAAAAAGGCCAACACTGCATCTCTAGTCAGCACCAAAAATCCTTGTTCCTCCTTTCCCAGCTTCCAGGCTCTTCCACAGCCCCCCAGCACTGCACTGCCAACTGCTCCTGAGCTTCAGTGAGGATAGTGGCCTCGGTCACCTGAGCCACACACACTGCCAAGTCCTGCTCAGAGCCAGAGGCACCTGCAGCTGAAGGTGGAACCATTGGCTGCTCTTGACCAAAGCACTCATTTCAAAGGTGTTGTAACTGAGCAAAAAACATGAGAGGAGACAGAGAAACCTGATCTGGTACTTGTTACCCTGGGAGCAGAGCTATGGCTAATGCTGTTCAAGGGAGTTTAAGGTCTTGTGCTCATTTATCATCCTGTGCTTGCAGGAGGATCCTTTCTTCGTGCTGTACTCCACACCAGGCAGGCAGAGTTCACTTCTGGGAGCTGTGGGAGAGGAGGAGACTGACATCTGCTACCCAAAAGGAAGGGATTCCCCCACCTCCCAACCAAATTCAGAAAGTGGATGGATGCTGACACTGCCTTCGGCACTGAAGCTGCAATATGCTGTGTGGGCAGATCCCACTTCAGCAGCATTCACAGCAAGATCACACAGACATAAAAGGAAGTCTGAATGAATGAAGGGAGAATGTCACATCTAGGCACACAATCTGAAGTCCAACTCAATTTCTCTATGGGCTTTTAAATGAAATTCTTGCTTACTTCATATGCCTTTTATTTAAGACTGTGTCAGAGAGTTCTGAAAGATTGCTTTCATTAAATGTACTTAGTTCCTGAATCCTTTTTTTCCCAAAAACTTCTCTCTTCTACCATCCATTATTCCCATCGAGTAGTCTCTCATTATTTGTTCCTCAGTGCACAATGCTGCTCTTTCTTTTCAAAATTATCCTCACTTGATTGCAGTGATCACAACCGAAGGACTATAATGAGAATTTCTCTACTCAGTAAACAGAGACAATCAGCAAGAGATGCCATAGGGGAGTGTTTTTGCCAATTCTTCCAAACCACGTTCCTGAGAGGGGCAGGAGGCAAAAGGCACCTGAACCAAATCCTGAGCCCATCAGCTTGAAACCTTTTGCTTGGCTCTGTTAATTCTTCATATTTTTCTCGAATGAGTCCACTGGAGACCACCAAGATGTGTCTTTACATGGTCAGGTATTTCAGAAAGTCTGGTCCCCCCAAAAAATAAACCCAAACCTCAGAAACTAAAGTCACCCTTTCAAGACCCTGAAAACAACTGAAGCACCCAACCACAAGATTTAAAGAAATTACTGGAAAGCAATCCAAACAACCAAAACATTGTATGGTTTATATTCATCTTTTGTATGTGCCTTCCTATTAATGCTTTGGCTTGTATCTTTTATCTCTTCCTCTTTATCCTGAAGAGGTTTTGTTTTCTATTGTGTGAGGTTGTGTGTTTTTAATTGGAGTCAAACCTTCCACAAAGCCCCACTCTTGGCAACCAAATGCTCCCTATGATCAGGCTTGTGATGAGACCTCATGACTGATCAGTGCTGGGATCTGTGTACAGCAGCAGTGCAAGAATTTCCCCTTCAGTGCTCAGCCACAGCAGGGCTGTGACAAAGCTATTGGTCACACACATAAATAAATCTGGACTGCTCTGTGTGCCTTGCACTCTGCCAGCCTGCAGGCACATGGATATTGCCACTTTATGTAAAACCCAACAACTTTTCATGGCTGCTCTTTACTCTGACAAAAAGGGCATCCCTAACAAGGCACCTGAAACAGGAATTTTGCCTAATAACAGTGTTGTCATATTAGGGAATGGCCCTTCATGACCTCTCCAAAATAAAACATGTTCCAATTAAATATGAGGCGAGGTCTTTTTATATCACCTAAACCAGAAATCCAAACCAAAAGGGAAGAGGAAAAAAAACCCAAACCAATCAACTAGCTGAAGTGCATGCTTTAAATCACATCCTTTGAAAACATAAAGCATATCCATGCTTAACAAGGCTAAACTGAACCAACTTTCAGCACACACACAGAAAAGCCAAACACAACTCAGATAGGAGTTTGAGCAGTTAAAACCCACTAATTGAAGAGAGAGCAATCCAGGACACACTGACTGAATGACTTGATGTGAAGTGCACAACTAACAACACTGATGGGAGCACAGGAAACTGGAACCAATAGCACCTGAGGAGGAGCTGCGGGTTCCTCCCATGTCTGGGACAGTTTTATGCCAGCTGCTGTCCCAGGCACATAAATGATTAATTAGTCACTCTCTTTCTCCCTGCATTTCTATTCTCATGTGTTTCTGAATGCATTTCTCAGTGGTGCAGAGAAGAACTTTTGCCTTAACCATGGAGCCACCACAGTGCCTCCACAGCTGAGCTCTCTCAGGGCCCTGAAGAGACCAAAAGGCAGAAGTCCCTGTGGCTGGCCATTCCCACAGGCAGCGTCTGTTTAGCTGATGTAGTGATGTATTTAAGTAGTCACCTTAGGACAGACACAGAAAGGTGCAAGTCAGAGCTCCAGGGAGGGGATTTCTACCTAATAGCTGCAAGTCATTTGAGATTTTCAAAATATAAATTAATCTGTGTAAAGACAGCAGGAGCTAAGCCTTAGCTATTTAATTATAAAACCTGCACCTGCAGAGTTTTGTCTGTGCGCCATTTCTGTAAGGAGAGTGAGGAGTATTTCTCCACCCCACAGCTTATTTTCAGTTAAATTCCATGTCAGTACGTGATGGGCTCAGAGAAGCACTCCAGCAGGTGCAGATCTAGTGACCCATCCACATGATTAAGCCTCAGCTATCATCTTCAGGGCCTTTACATGATGACCCCAATCTATTCACAAACCAGGAGGAAAATCACTGCCTGAAATTCAGCATCCTCCAGGAGCACCCCCTGAGGAAGCACCAACCACAGAGTGGAACTGAGCTGCCTCTAGAGAAACCTCAGTCTGTTTACACAGCTACAGAGCCAAGAGAAAACACTCATGGCTCCATATGTAACCAACAGGTTCCCATCGCTGCATTGCATCTGCCCCTCATCATTAGTGTTGTACACACCAGCTTCCCATCAAATCCCCTTCTTCCTTCAGTGCCTCCAGGCATATCCTTGAGGAAGAGCTTTGCCTGAAGACCCCCCAGGCTTTCAATGCCAGCTCGCTGGGTGCCCGTGCTGTTCCCCTTAGCTTGTCCCCATCCCCAGCCCTCCTCCCTGCTGCTGCCAGGGACCAGCCCAATCTCAGGGCTCACTGGGGGCAAGCACCACCCATTTCCTCAGTAACAGGTGCAGGAATGACTGCAGGGTGCTTTGAGAGAAGACCTAGCAGTGATGTTGACTCTGTAACAAGGATCAGACTCAGCTGGTGCAAGAACAACCCCAGAGAGTGAACAACTCAGTGCTCTTCCCTAAATTAACAACCTCCATATCGTAATAGCCAGCAAGAGGAGGAGCGACCTGCACCCACTCACACAGACATCTGATTACAAGTGTGTTCAAACACACAGTTGAGACCTGCACAGTTCCCTGTAATCTTCTATTTCAGGCTGAGTTATCAATGAGCCAGCAAATTTTATCAGGAAGAGATTATTTTCTTCTGATATCATCTGACACTGTAACACAAGCAATTGAAACACAACTCCAAACTCTAATCTCTAATACAGAAGGCTGAAGGAAAACACTGTTCACTGGGCTGGGCAGAGTTTATGCCTGTTTCTGTTTTCAGAAGCTCCAACAGCTGAGCTTTGAAAGGTGTTGGACTGTTGTAAAGAAAACAGCATAACCCTACAGCTGAACTGAGACACAGGCAGGACCACAACACAGCTCCTTGTCCCCAGCATTTTAAAACTGCAGTCTGTGTCACAGTGCTGTTTACAAAATGAGAAAAGTACAACACTACTGGATTTGGAGAATAGAACATCCCAGGAGTCCTTCAAAGGTAAAAACTCACAGCTGGTTTCATGTCAATGAACTGTAACGAGCCCTCAGAACAATATGAGTTTTACATATCATGAATGTTGCATAATGAAAGCATCTCAGCAAATTGGCTGTGGGGTGGTGTAAAGTTTGGGAACTGAATTTGAGAGTCAAGCACCCTGTTTGTTTTTGAAGTTAAGGAGCTGTGGACATTCAGCATCCCTTGGGATTGACTGTTAGGAATAGGGATTCTCCAAATGCTCAGCAAAGACTGACAATGTTGAAGCACCTGTCAAATTTAACTGGCTTAAATGGCCACATCTGTAGCTCATTAAAAATGAAAAATTAAAAAAAAAGCTTAAAAAAAAAAAAACTTAACTAGCAGAACATATCCAAACCAGTATCATCCTGAAGGATCATAGAAGACATTAAATGAGACGTATGCTAAGTCATACTGCCTAACACGTGGTTGGAAGGTAGTCAGAAACCACACTGGCAGCAATATCCAAACCTGAGCAGATCAAGAGACAGCTGAAAGTCTCCAGGGAGCATTACAGCCTGTGCCCAATGTCAAAATAAATAAATAACATCTCAACTGACTACATGTATCAAAAATGGAAGAGAAGATCAATTCTGCTTTCAAACAATAAAGTAGAAAATCCCTTAATTCTGCACCCCATGCCTTAGGTAGTGACTAATTTATATAAAACTCTGATTTTCTCATACTCTTTGCCCTCATAAATGCCTGGGTTTGACCTCTTGATCCCTTGTGCTACTTCAGGATTTCTGAAAGCTATAACCAATGGTCACAGTCAGGGCAGTTGCTGTCACAGGGGATCTTGGCGCTAAGGTCAGCTCCCAGGGCTTCAGTCTGTCAGTTTTCCATCCTCAGAAAGCAGGAGTTGCACTGGCAGCTCCTGTTCCAGCCCCTCCAGGCAGCAGCAAGAAGCCCAGAAGCAGCTGGGTCCAAGTGACTCGGTCTCAGAGAAGTGGCTGCTCCAGTTCGATGTCTGACCAGGCTCCCGATTCCATTTGCAAAAGAAAACCAAGCAGACTTGCCAATTTGGCTTTATGTGAGCCTTGAACCAGACCTCGCTCCCCAGGACCTCGCTTGCTGGGACTTGCAGCTCTTTGATGTGCACAAAGACACAAGATGGAAGGTAATGACTGTTCTGCGATGAGATCTTCACGAGGTGTGATGTCAGCCCATTTCTGGCTACACAAATGCAAGAGGAGGAACCTCAGAGGCAGAGAGATGGAGGGATGACACCACTGGGCTGCAAAGAAATCCTAAAATACTTCAGCAAACACATCACAGAAGCTTGTATGAAAGCCAAGGGGAAGTGCATAAATAAAACCCATTGCACTGGTCACAAGGGTTTAATCACTTAACGACTGATTAGATATCCATGCAAAACAACACAAAAGGCCATCATTTTTAAGGCATCTCAGGCCACATCACTGTGCAGAAAGCACGGTCAGATGGCCAGATGGCAAATCAAAGCCTGATGAACAGCCCTGAGGTTAAACAGTGTCCAACAGAACTGACATCCAACAGAGACAGACGGAGAAAAGAGAGAACAAAATCATCAGGACGTACCAATCATCTGCTTTGTTAAAACAAGATTTGAAAAACACTTTAAAGAATTCTGATTGCTTAAAAGGGAAAAAAATTCATCACGTCAAAATCATAACACTGGCCCTAGGTGAAACGTAACTAAATTCAGGAATACACCGTAGGGAGAGGTATCATGATCAGACTGATGGAAAATGACGAACTTCATGGCCACAGGTCTTCCCTTCAGTCTAAAACTGAAGCCATCAATTAAGCTAAGTACAAATTAAGGATGCTACTTACTGTGATCTGGTTCAAAAGAAAAGTGCTTGT